GAACTATTTTATTTATCATCTTTCTAATGGTGAACTGGAGACATCTCAGTAACCTCATCTGAGTCGCTCGCAAGCTACACTAGTGCAAAGCTCTTTGGAAACCATCATGCGCATGTGTTTATTTCGATCTCATCCACCATTATGACTGGAGTGGAAAACCTCTGGAATTGATGCAGAAAATGTAGCAAGAAACTTTACTGCATAGGAAAGGGAAAAGAAGGCAACACTATTGGCTCAAGAATACCACGAATGAGTTTATACGAATCACATTAACGTCTTCAGCAAGTGCTGAATCATTTACTTAAATCATATGTCTATTATTCCCTAATGGTTTACCGTCTCATCGTAGCTAGGAGGTGTTTCTGGATGTCGGACTGCGAAGTACACCGGGAATTGAGGGGGTAAATCCCCCAGACCTGTCCGATCTGAGGAGTCCGACTCGTCACCCGGAATGCCTAGCTATGGGTAAACCGTACCAGGAATGACCTCCGCCTTAATAGTAGTCGCGAGATGGCAATCTCCCTGTGATCCACAATGGTCGCCGACTGCTCTAATGAAGTAACGACCTGAGGAAGCCTCGGGTAGGCTTACCTCAGGACTCCACAAAACAAAACAACAACACAGTTTCGTATTCTGAGGCTCGCACTATCAGTCAAGAGGGGTCGTTCAAGTGTACAAGTATAATATATGTCTATTCTCACGGTACTATCCTTGGGGAATGCTTCTAAAGAAGCGAGAACGAAAGAAATTCTCGTAGAGCTGCAAAACCGTACTTCAGACCTCAGCTGTTGAAAGACGTAGGAAATAAGATTTCTGATCAGATTTATTTTGCTGCAGTGATGTTCGACGCCAGACAATCTACAACAATCAGAAAATAGTTCAAGCCCCATGACCTATACTCATAGAATCAACACCTGGTTATTGCTCAGTTAAAGTACCCCAAACATTCCAGACAACTTCACTCATTCGTATTTAAAAAACCACTTCGTTAACCCTGTAACAATGTTATGTAAAACATTTGTAAGACCACAAGTATTTCTCATTACTTCAGGCGCCAAGAAGGAAAAGCTTCTAATCAGAAACACTCATGGAAAGGAATCAAAGGAAACTCATTTGGTCACATAGAAAAGTGACAGGACAGCAAAGCTTTATCCAGCCAAAACTTTATACAGTAGTTTCCCAATTTTGAAATTAAAAGGGCATACTATTAAATTTTCACCGCCGCTAACGATCTTTGTTGTAATAAAGCCGTTGATATTTTTAGAGATTTCTTATTTTCTTGACGGAAAAACGAGAAAATGAGAAATTTCAAAACATCAACTGCTCTATTACAACAAACATCACCTCTAGCGGCTGTGAAGGCTTCGCAGTGTAATTCCTTTAATGTCAGCGTGAGAAACTACTAAACAAAGTCTTTGCTGGATGAAAGATTTTGTGGAAATACAATGTCATTTTTAATTTCATAGTTCCGCAAAGGAAGGAGGTAAAATCTGTGGAGGTAAATTTGAAAAAATGTCGAAAAGTAGCTAAGAACGGAGTGAATAACTGATAATTTTGAGCTCGTAGCACAATATTTGCCAACTAATTCAAGTTCATTTTATGTTTAATAATCTTAACGAGACTAGTAGAGACTGTTTCTCTGCTAATAAACTAAGAATCCCAAGACTTTTTCTAAACAATTAGGCTCATAAAAAGTAAAATTTGACTGGCAAAAAAAATTTTTATAGGGTAGATGCCACTAAATGGAATAATTAATGTAACAGAATTCCTTCAATTAACGGCTTTTGAATCGCAGAAAGTGAAGGGTAGTAGCAGAGCGGGAGCTGTGATAGTGCAATAAATTAGCACATGTTCCGAGAAAACGCAAATTCAATTCCCGCCCAAAGTTGAGTATTTTGTACATCACTTGACATCATTAGAACCAAAGTAACTATTGAAGAACTATAACTAAGTTTTCTTCAAATCTAAAACATAAAGGAGTTTAGAGACTTAGCGGACTTGCACAGCGAACCATGATTTATGAAGCAACGCGTATATATAAATATTCTGAACGTTTATCCCGGGGGGTCCATGGACCCATCTCTCCGCGTGTCTGACCCCCCAGCGTCTCACGTTGCGTCTAACAATGGCACGCTGGAGTTAGACGCCACTGCCACGCTCCACACGCTCCATGTTAGCCGCGACGTGTCAGAGGTTAGACACACAGAGGGTTGGGTCCAAGTTCCCGTAGGGCTTAACTACGCATTCGTAGGCTTGTTTCTCGTTGACAGACCCAACTGGTTGCGTTGAAGTGGTGATTCATTAGAAGATAGAATGTCGTGTTGACAACACAACGCTCTTTACCTCATACATGATCTGATTTAATTTTAGAAACTCCACAAAGTTTCAGGTCAAGCATTTGAATCGAAAAGCGTAGGGAAGACATTCAACTAATATCAATAACGGCTACCTATTGACCCTAGCAGTCTTCAACGATTCGCAGCTTATTCCTTATAAGCCAGACACGTGCCCTTCTAAGATAAATCGCCTTATTCAAAGCTTGAAAAGATCAGGTTGCCCACAACCCAGTTGGCCAAACAGTTCCTTACTCCAACGGGAAAATCGCCAAATCTAGATTTCAAACGCATCAAGCATAAAACAACCCTTAACTCACCACCGCCCTGATAGACACCTTAACAAAGGTGTTTGGCTGACTAGGCTGTGAGAAACCTGATCTCTGCAGGTTCTGAATGGGGCAAAATCGCCGAAATTTCAGCTGTCATATTGAATTACACTATAGAAACTTCCTGTTTGGCTTACAAAAGAGAAAACTACGAGCAAAGAGAAAACTAGGAAGCTTAAACATATCTGGGTTCTTTTTAGTTACACGGGGACAAATGAAAAACCGACCTCATTCGTTGGACAAGAACTTTTCACATGAGTGTTAGTAAGCATTCTAAAACTGAGACTTGACAGCCCCAAGTCGCCTGTTTTCGAAAAAAGCTCTACAATCTTGAAAAAGGCTTGTTTTGTGGATTCCAAACAGACCGACTAGGCAAGTTGCCCCAATAAAGAAAGTTCAGGAAGTTCAGTGAGTCAATTCTCAGTGAAAATGGGTAAGAAACAAAGTGGAAGGAAAGTATGACTTAGTCCTAAGTTAATTCCGAAAAGAAGATGATTTCCGTCAATCCTGGTGGTGACGACGCAATAATCGGGAAAAAAATTGATTTCTCAATAGTCCACAAAAGTTTGAATGATATGCTTAACTCTACAGAGGTCCAAAGATACCAGGTGATGTGCAAAAAATTCGCACCGGGCGGGTGTTGAACCCGCGTTTCACACATATCGCCTCGGATACGGATAAAACACAGGTTCAACTCCCGCCTGGAGTTGAGGTTTTACATACCGCTCAGCATCTTTGGATATGTAACTTCATCATAATAACAGTGCTTGAAAAGCAGATCTCTGACGAAGGCGAAGTCGTCGAGACGTAAGCCATCAAATTTCGAGGGAGAAGAACTAACCTTGCCCAAGTTCTAGTCCCCTTTGCTGGCGATGGGTATCACTATGACCCTCAAATTTCCAGAGGTCCTTTTTTTGCTGAATAAAGTTTTTATCTGAAATTCAAGTAACTTTTCGAAAGCTTAAATCTTGGGAATTCCGATACTTTGCTTAGTATCTGAAAAGGCCTTTATAGCACACTGTGGAAGCAAAAACGAAATGTTTCAAACTCGATTTGCCTTATTTGCCCAGCTAAAGGATCTGGATCACTTTTTATTCGACTACACTAAGCCCATTCGATAGCCTAAATCCTGGTGAATTTTAGGCGCAAACTGCTTCTCAAAAAGTTTTCATGGTACCCTAAGAGAGCGAAAATAAAATTACGTTTCACATTCGGACTTTTCTTTGCACACAGGAGTTATTTATGTATACTAAGTATATAGATTTGTAAAGAAAATCATGTTCTATCGGAGTGGTACAAAAAACCTAAAGCATTTCCCGAAACAGAGAGAAAAACCTTAGCTAAGAACGAAAATCGCGCGTCCCTGGCGATATCGATTATGCCGCCGTCCGCAAAGGGTTAAGGAAAACTACAACTAATGAGATATTTTGTTGAAAAAAAGCAATATATTGGAGGACTCTTGCACGTTCTACAGAGATCCTTTGACGGCTTACGTGTTAGCTTTCTCTAAAGGCTGCTTCTGAGCATTGAGGAGCTTCAAAGAGCAATGGCATCGACCGCTAACGGAGGCACTGAATCGTAAAGTAAGCTTGCTAAATCACAGAGGTCACAAGTATCCATCTGTGGGAGCGGCGAAGCCTGGAATGAATCCACGCCACGTGACGTCACCCTGAAAGTAATTCAATTGTGAAGAGGTCTGAACTAGTTCCTATATATAATCGTCAGCAGAAAGCGAAGTGAAAAAAGACAGTTAAGAGAATAGTGTGATGGATATCGCATAAATTGTGAATGCTGGCTATTCAAGTGGCCAAAAACTACGTACGGATGGCAAACAAAATTTGGGTAGAACAGAATGACGGCTACTTAAAAGCAATCCTCGCATCCCAAAATTCCACAGATAAGAGCGGTCTGTGCTCGAAAACAACATTTAATAACGATTTTAGTATTTCTTTTATTCACTTAGTCCTGAAAGAATAAAAAAAATTGTAAAATACATATTTCTTACCGAAAGGTGTGATGTTTGTCTGTCGCTTTTATTATGTAGAAATTAAACCGCTCTTATCTATGAGAATTTAGAGTAAAAGTTATGAAATCCAGATGAAACGATGGAGAATCACCATAGAAAACCGGGTGCAATTTCGACTTTGCTGCACTAAAAACTTCATAAGGTAAAATTAATTATGAAAATGTAAGGCATTAGAATTTCCAACGCAACGTAAGGAATCAATAAATACAGGGAAATATGTACATATTAGAACTTTAAAATTTTAACTGCTTTTTCGCAGTGCTACAATGCTTCAATTACACCTAAGAAGGTTAAGTGGGTGAGCAAAAACTCAACCTCAGACGGGAATCGAACCCGCGTTTCATCCATATCGGGGGCGCGTGCTACCACTACACCACCGAGGCCACAGCTAATGGCTGTCAGATCAATCGTCTTTAGAAAACGGTATATGCGACCAAACCTGCCCGGTTGGTTGGATAGCTATGATAGTGAGGTTTGAAAAATGAGTAGTGGGTTAGCGGTGTTCTCTGTGGTAAAGCGGTAGCACGCGCCCCGTAGAGGTGAAACACAGGTTCAACTCCCGCCTGAGGTCGAATTTTTGCTCATCTCTCGATTCTCCTGACTTTATGTACAAACTGTCGAAAAAAAAACGATAAAAGAAACAAAACTTGCTATTAAATTTCTGTAAGATCTACGTTAATGATTGCAGATACGATGAATCAACGAGGAAATACGGCAAATCCTAAGGCAAGAAAAGACGATCCCTCGAAAATCGATAAAATTCTCATCAATAGTATCGGTGAAGCCTCTTTTTTCATCACTAAGAGAGGAAAAGCTGAGCGCTTATCCTCTAAACTGGGAAGCTGAACACTCGAACAAATTCAAAGACTCAAGAGGTTTACTGAAAAAATGAAAAAACCGACGATTCGAGAGCTATAACAGAATTTTAGCTCTGAAACTCTAGGAATGTTAAGTGGAGTGTAAAACATGAGGGAGTGTTAAGAAAGCGGTAGCCTCTATGGTGTAGTGGTAGTAGGTGTCTCGGGCTAGGGTGAGACGCGGGTTCAACACCCGATTGGGGCCGAAAGTTTTGCATATCATCGACAACCTTAGACCTATGAATAATTCACCATAATATCGCTAAAAAGCAATAAAATGAAGAGATCCGATGAATAGATGACGTCATTTACAAAACCATTCGAAAAAAGCGCGTTACAAATGAAATGGTCAGTACGCCCCTTCCCACTTGTACCGATAAATAACCTGTTTCACCTAAAAAACCTGTTTTGTCCAGAAACCACCTATCTTTCAGCCTTCGAATGAAAACGTTATAGAGTGGACCTTTAGCCCGCCAATCTTATCGAACCCCGTCAAGGACCACCCTGGAGGATTGTGTGTTTATTGATTAGTTCGTAGATCAAAACACTGTCGCTAACTCGTGTTGGTTTTCCAGTATGAACGGATCGACACAGAGCGCTGAGAGCATCGAAAATTCAATTATCACGGGTTAAAATCATGTTTGTTAGCGTTAGTTGAGCTCCCCAACCTTATGAAACCCCGTCAAGGACGACCCCGGGCGATTGTGCTCATATTGATTAATTCGTAGATCAAAATAACTGTCGCTAACTCGTGTTGGCTCGTCAGTAAAACAGAACGTTATAGAGCGCTGAAAGCCCCGGGAAATAGATGATCAAATCGTGGCGGAAATGAGAGAGCGGACCATCATAATTTCTGGGACCTTCGATCACAGGGATATCACTTCGAAGGCAAGTAGCCGAGAATTTCGTCGAAAACGTCTTTTCGGGGGAGGAATTCGACCGAATGAACAGATGGGTCGGCAGCGTCACGTGGTGATAGAGACGGAAGCAACTGGTTAACAAACTAGTTAATATCGCTTTTTTCGGAGAGGAAAAAAAGGAACGAAAGGAAGGAATCCTGCGGGTTTGTGCTTGAACACCACGGTCGACGGCGATCGAAATGAAGGACATCGTATTTACACACTCGTTCTAACGTGGCCGTCGTCGTGGGCCCTCCCCCGACCCACGTGCCCGATCGATATCTCGCGTGCGATCGATCGCTAGGCACCGCCCCACGGGCCGCGACCGCCGCGCGGCGGGTGCGGCTGAGCTCATGCTGAAGGTCGCCCGCCTCCGGTACTGAGACAAGTCTCCGGCAAGTGCCTCACTATTGGTTCGTCATCAGATGACACATTCCGGACCGTATGGGCTCTATAGTGTCCATGCACGATCGAGCCCTTCAGATTTCGCCTCTCGATAGCTGCGACTTTTTCTGGCCTGTAGTTTCTTTTCTCTTTTTCCTTTTCTTTTCTTGGAAGCTATATAGTAGAACGACTGTCTCACAAAACCTCCTAAGTCCCACTTTTTTGGGATCCTTTGGGCAACGTAGGCTCATCTCGGTACGCGTAGATATCGCGCTCCAATCGCACGCTCCTGTTGAACATTGTATAACTCAGCCATAGGTTCACATTCGGGACGGTATGGGCACTATAGTGTCCATACACAGTTGAACACTCCTTTGAATTACGCCTCTCAGGATCAGGTTGGTGCAAAAGTATCTGCAATTTTATGCATTTTGAAACTTACTCTTCCGATATTGGGACATGTTTTAAGTTGAAAAAACCGCAGGAGAAAGTGAAGCCGCAATCACTTTTGCACCGTATCGATCAGTAGCTGCACTTTTTTGTGGCCTTCCGAATTCTTTTTCTTCCTCGTTTCTCTTTCTCTGAATAACAGAGTGGCGCGGAAGCTAAATAATAGGACGGTTGTCTACAAAAACTCAGGAGACCCCGTCTTTTCCGAAATCAATGGGAGACGCATACTGTTGCCGGTGTACTTAGATATCGCGCTTTAATCACACGCTCCTTGTGAACATTTGGGTACCACTCAGTCTTAGATTCATCTTCCGAATCGTATGGGCTCTATAGTGTCCATGAACAATTGAACAGTCCTTTCAATCCATTCAAAAGCTCTGACTTTTCTGGTCGATAAACTTTCTACTCTTCCTTTTTCTTTTCTTGGAGACTGACTAGTAAAGCACTGTCTCGGAAAACCTCGATGGTTGCTACCTTTCTGGACCCCACGAAAGATATCCTCTGCTTTCGGTGTACGTAGATATCGCGCTCCATTCACACGCTCTTTCAAAACATTCAAGTACCACGCAGTCACAGATTCACCTCTTCGAAGCTGCATTTTACTGGCTTCCCAGTTTCTTCTTTTCATTGTTTTCTTTCCGGTAAATAGATAATGGAGCGATTGTCTCAGCTGAAACTCAGAGAGTCATACCTTTCTCGGATCGCTTGAGAAATATAGACTGATTTCGATGCACATGTGTATCGCGCTTCAATCACACGCTTCTTTAAGACGGTCTGGAATGTGTCAACTTCTATATTTCGTATTCAGAAAATTTAAAATTTTCGTCGTTGCTGAGATACGAGCAAATTAGGAGTTCGACATCGCTTTGAAGCTTTGAGGTTCTGCTCGGAACTTCACCTTCCTTGCAGTTGTATTCCGCATCGGATCCTTATCCATGGTCAGAGTGTGGGCAGTAACTTAAAGTTAGACATGGTGATGTCGACTACAGTTCCACCTTATGTGGATTCAGTGCCAATTTGTGCTCCCTAGGTTAATCCCAGTGGTGGCGGAGGCGTGATTCTTCATCGTCGTGTCATTAGATGATCAAGATAACACAATGTTGGTATTAAACTTTTATTTGATGAACATCTGGGCACCTTCGCCTTCTTCAGAGTCGCAGTGATCTGAGTCAATTGTTCATTTCACGTCCAGGAGCGAAGGCGTCAAAACGTTGGCCAAATAGAAGTTTGATGCCTGTTTCATTAATTACTTGTGGCCACTCATAATTACAGGAAAGCACGAAAACATTGGTGGCTTGTTGTGAACCATTACCTGTAACACCTATCGTCCCTGGTCGAGCGGCTTGAGCTGGTACCCGCATAATTTCCATTTTTCTCTATCGTCTGGAAGAGTAGCTAATCGCGTTCTACTCGTTGGCATTCGCCAAATCTTTCTTCTGCACTCTAAGGTGAAGAAATCGGGACCATTGGGTCGACGGTCTTCTTGTGTTGCGTTTGACATCTCGACGAATCCGGTCGGTAGTGGGTCGCAAATGTAGTAGTTTTTTCTTTGTAAGCGAAACAGCAATTTGTTGTAATACATTTTATTCCATAGCTGATGTTCCCATAGGTCTGCCTCCAGAGCCTGGAAATTCGAGATGTCCACAACTCAACCGGCCAAACACCTCCAATACTCTCACAGAAAATTCACCAAACTTAGATTTTAATCACATCAAGAGCGAAACTATTCTTCCAAACACTTACCGCATTTTACGAGTCTTACTAAGTCGTCCACATGGCGACCAACCGTGCAGGGCTCCACTGGTCTCCACTTGGACAACTTAGTGGAAGACTCATAAAAGGCGATAAATATGTTGAGAAGTTTCTTTGTTCTTGATGCGTTCGAAATAGGTCTGCTGATTATTTTTCTGTTGAACTAATGGAGGTGGCTAACACGAATGTAGACAACACCTGATGATTTCAGGCTCTGAAGGCGAAATCGCTATAAGGTCAGCTTTCAAAATAAATTTTATTAAACAATGGCATCGAATGTTTTTATAACTTCACAATAAACATTCAAAATAATTTCAAGAAGAATGTTCAAAGCCTTAGCGAGGTTGGTACGCCAGTATCATACACCGTTGTTTCGGAGGTCCCGCCGTCCTCGTCAGTGACCCTCGCCCCAGATTAAGCCCCTGCGTTGTAGCAAGGAGGGAGGCGTGTGTGGTGACGGCACAGTGTTCAATGACACTGGTCCATCACCACTTCTCAGTCGATGGTTCTCAGCTGGTAGAACTGGTAGAATTTTATTAAAACAAACTCGTGTTTAGTTTACGAAGAAAACTAATTGAATGTAGTAGTCATAGTGAAATTCAATAGATATAAAGAATCTCAACACAAATACCAATTAGCTATATAGTAAAAAAGCTAAGCTCTTGAGTAAACGAAAGCACTATTGGTGGTAGATTTAGCGTCGAACTGCTTCAAGAAATTGCTCAGAAATGGGCTCAGGTATTGTCAAAACTTGAAAGGCATTGTTGAATTCACGTAATTTATGCTAAAACAATTAATTACTAATACTCGGAATTAATAGTATTTCAGTGCATTTCGTATTGTTATGATGTTTTCTATATACCTAAGAGAACTGAGTGGTTAACAAAAACGCGGCCTTAGGCGGGAATCGAACCCGCGTTTCATCCTATCCGAAGACGCGTGCTCTAACCACTACACCACCGAGGCACATTTGCCCGACCACTCATTCTTCAACATCTCAATGTTAGCGTGCCTCGGTGGTGTAGTGGTTAGAGCACGCGT